GAGGTGTTTAAAAATCCTTCTTTTGCCAAAATCCAGGATCATGGATAATTCTCACTTTTTGCAGTTTAAATTTCCACGTCTACATTTCCTCGTGTAATTGAGAACCATTGTGTCAACTTATTTAGGGTCATGATGTGTGCAAATATTTTCTTTGCTGCTTTGTAAAAAATCTCTGATCGTACCACAATCGTTCGATTGCGACCAAATAACGCGAATACGACTATATGAAAAAAATGGACGAGTACGAGTTCGAGTTAATTGAGAGTACGAACAAAGTTAAACCGGGTGCGAGTTCGTGTTGAGTTTGAATGCGAACAAAGTTCGAGTTTGAGCTCGAGTGCGGCCAAAGCTACGAGAGTTTCAGTACGAAAAAATATATACGAGTACGAGTTCGTGTACGCGGTTAGTGAGAGTACGAACAAAGTAACACGGGTGCGAGTTCGTGATTGAGTTCGAATGCGAACAAAGTTCGTGTTTGAGCTCGAGTGCGAACAAAGCTACGAGAGTTATACAGACGAGTACGAGTTCGTGTATACGGGGTTTAGTGAGAGTACGAACAACGTTACACGGGTACGAAAACCATTATTGTGTGGTCATGATTATTTCTTTTATAGTCCCCCGCCCCCCAAATCCCCAACAGGTCCCAACACACAATGCTGGTATTCTTAAGACCAAATAAAGATTTGTATTGTTTTGAGCAGCTGATGGGAAATGAATGAAAATCCATTGGCTAAGGAATCCAATCATTTTCATAAGGTGTGTAATTTGTATTCATTTGTTAAATTACTGCCTCGTTTGTAAACAATTATTTTAAGTAACCGTCATTTTCCCTCCATGTTTACAGGTATAGTTTAAATGTGAAATGTGAAAACAAATCCGAAAATCATTCTTTAAATTGTTAAAATGTCAAAATATCGGATACGCGAAAATAAAAATCCGGCAAATACGTTAGGGCGCCCTCTTTTTTGAATTGACGCAAAATGTTTAACGACCACTGAATTACGGAAAGCAAAAACTGCGGTTACAGACACGCAAATAGACGCAAAACATCAGCAATTTGAACAGAAACGATAAGAAATGGAATGAAATTATTATTTTCGAGAGAGTGTTTGTTAAATATTCTTGGGGCATGTGTACAAATCTTCTTTGTAGAAAGTTTGCTAGAAATTTCCCGTTTTACCGCACCAAGCCTATTATCCCTGTGTGTGTGTAACCCAATCTTGTGAAAAAAATCTAGGGACATGTGTTAATTTTTTAGCCGTTTTGTAGAAGTTTCTCTAATCCACAAATCCTCTTTTTAAAACTCAACTAGTGGTCTTCCCCTGTAACTTGACTGAGATTCATTGTGCAGAATTAATAAGGCCATGTGTTGAAATCGAACTTAAAGTTAAACTCTTATTTATAGAAATGTCTTCGAATGCAACCACCTGTAACCATCATCAAGTGAGGTGTTTAAAAACCCTTCTTTTGCCAAAATCCAGGGTCATGGATAATTCTCTCTTTTTGCAGTTTAAATTTCCACGTCTACATTTCCTCGTGTAATTGAGAACCATTGTGTCAACTTATTTAGGGTCATGATGTGTGCAAATATTTTCATTGCTGCTTTGTAAAAAATCTCTGATCGTACCACAATCGTTTGATTGCGACCAAATAACGCGAATACGACATGTGAAAAAAATACGAGTTCGTTTGCGGGGTTGATTGAGAGTACGAACAAAGTTAAACGGGTACGAGTTCGTGTTTGAGTTTGAATGCGAACAAAGTTCGTGTTTGAGCTCGAGTGCGAACAAAGCTACGAGAGTTTCAGTGCGAAAAAATATATAGGAGTACGAGTTCGTGTACGCGGTTAGTGAGAGTACGAACAAAGTAACACGGGTACGAGTTCGTGTTTGAGTTCGAATGCGAACAGAGTTCGTGTTTGAGCTCGAGTGCGAACAAAGCTACGAGAGTTATACAGATGAGTACGAGTGTACGGGGTTTAGTGAGAGTACGAACAACGTTACACGGGTACGAGTTCGTGTTTGAGTTTGAATGCGAACAAAGTTCGTGTTTGAGCTCGAGTGCGAACAAAGCTACGAGAGTTTCAGTACCAACAAAATATATACGAGTACGAGTTCGTGTACGCGGTTAGTGAGAGTACGAACAAAGTAACACGGGTACGAGTTCGTGTTTGAGTTCGAATGCGAACAAAGTTCGTGTTTGAGCTCGAGTGCGAACAAAGCTACGAGAGTTATACAGACGAGTACGAGTGTACGGGGTTTAGTGAGAGTACGAACAAAGTAACACGGGTACGAGTTCGTGTTTGAGTTCGAATGCGAACAAAGTTCGTGTTTGAGCTCGAGTGCGGCCAAAGCTACGAGAGTTTCAGTACGAAAAAATATAGACGAGTACGAGTTCGTGTACGCGGTTAGTGAGAGTACGAACAAAGTAACACGGGTACGAGTTCGTGATTGAGTTCGAATGCGAACAAAGTTCGTGTTTGAGCTCGAGTGCGAACAAAGCTACGAGAGCTATACAGACGAGTACGAGTTCGTGTATACGGGGTTTAGTGAGAGTACGAACAACGTTACACCGGGTACGAGTTCGTGTTTGAGTTCGAATGCGAACAAAGTTCGTGTTTGAGCTCGAGTGCGAACAAAGCTACGAGAGTTTCAGTACGAAAAAATATATACGAGTACGCGTTCGTGTACGCGGTAAGTAAGAGTACGAAAAAAGTAAAACGGGTTCGTGTTTGAGTTCGAATGCGAACAAAGTTCGTGTTTGAGCTCGAGTGCGAACAAAGCTACGAGAGTTTCAGTACGAAAAAATATATACAAGTACGAGTTCGTGTACGCGGTAAGTGAGAGTACGAACTAGTAACACGGGTACGAGTTCGTGTATGAGTTCGAATGCGAACAAAGTTCGTGTTTGAGCTCGAGTGCGAACAAAGTTTAATACACAAGTACAACAAATTGGAGTTTGAGCTCAAAAATCTGAACACGAGTACTTAAACTGCCGTAACCACCACCTCAGTGTTATTTTTTGAAGGATTTTGATGGGAAATATATTGGGGCCATGTGTAGTAGTAATCTTATTTCTCCGTTTTGCGTATTTCTTTTCCAAATGGCAACATCTGCACTTGAATTTGTGTTAAATCTTGCCCTCTCAGTACCTTCTGTATGACAGTCTTTGACGTATTGACGCTTACATTTGTGACAATATGTAAAATATTTTAGGGCCATGTGTACAAATCAAACTTTGAAATTTCGGTCACGTCTATACGTTTTCTCGTCGTTCTACATTGATACTCATGTGAAAAAAATATTTTAGGGCCATGTGTATACAGACCCTTTCATCGCTGTCATGTAGAAATTGCTGCCAAACCCATATTTTTGTCCTGTGTTTTCTTCTGTACTTATATGACTCATGTTATTTTACATGATTATAGGGCCATGTGAACAAATATTACTGGGTCTCTGTAGAAATTCTTCCAAATTTATCTTGGAAACTTATTGTAGGGCCATGTATTGTACAGATCGTATTTTTCCCCGTTTTGTTGAAATTTCTTCAAATACCGGACGTGCATTTGCTTAAAAATTATACTTGTCCCTTCATCCCGCCTGTATCATTGTGTAAAATACTCCAGAGTGATGTGCTTCCATAGCTATTTTTGAATCTTAAGAAAATCTCAAATGCTGGATTTAAGTTTTCTGGTATGGTATGTGTATCCCTCACCTGTTATAACTTTTGCTGTGATTCATTGAATGAAATACTCTATGGGACATGTTAACAAATCTGCCTCATTTGGTTGTTAAGCAGACATTTCCTCAACTGCAACGCCATGCCCATCCCTCTTAACGAAAACACCGAGATTTGTTGTGCAGAAAAATGCAGTGTATAGGGCCACGTGTACATATCTTACTGATCACTTGAAACATGTAATAGTCGTGAAACATGTATTTACAGCGGTGGTTTATCCATAATTATTCCGCGACATGAAATAGTCTCTGATCCTCGTCGAAATATGTGCTATTGACATTGATTGTTGTTGATTTGTTCTTCTATGATAAGTCCGATCCGCAAAGATCGGTACCAGTAATGCCTTGTGTTGTGGCCATGGTGACACTGTGGTTAATAATCAGGTTATGACACCTGTAAGTCGGATACACCCCATAATAACCTCGTGAAGTGTCGCTGAGGCTACAGACTAAAACAAAATTCATTCATTGATAAATTTAAGACACGCAAAACCAGTGGAGGTTTTGATGTCAGACTTTCCATTCCGGCAAGTCCGATCTAGCTGAAGTCGGCAATGTGAATATTGTTTCCCTTTGAAAAGGATCGCGTTGCTTTCGGCAAGATGGAATGAAATATGTTCTATCCTTAATATGTCCTATTGACATATTGTTCTTCTAATAAGTCCGATCAGCAAAGATCGGTAATGCCCATTGTGTTAGGGCCATGTTGATAATGTTACGTCGGATACACCCCATAATCACTTTGTGAAGTGTCGTCTGAGTCTACAAAATAAAAAAAGGGATTCATTGATATTGTTTTTAATCCACAAAACCAGTGGAGGTTTCGATTGACATTAAAGTTTTAATTCTGATAAGTCCGATCGGCACAGATCGGCAATGTGAATATTGTTTCCCTTTGAACAGGTTCGCGTTGCTTTTGTCAACATGGAATTTATTATGCCTATCCTTAATATTGTTTGTGATTTGTTCTTTTATTAATAAGTCCGATCCGTAAAGATCGGTAATGCCTGTTGTGTTAGGGCCATGGTGACAATGTTGCTAATAATCAGGTGATGACACCTGTTAATACGTCGGATACACCTTGTAAAGTGTCGTCTAGAGTGTACAGAGTAAAATAACCTCAATTCATTGATATTTCTAAGACCTGCAAATCCAGTGGAGTTTGTAATCGACATTTACATTTCAATTCTGATAAGTCCGATCAGCACAGGTCGGCAATGGGTATATTGTTTCCCTTTGAACTGGTTCGCGTTGCTTTCGGTAATCTGGAATTAAGCTCAACTATTTAGACTTCTCGACCAGTAGGCCAAGTGCCAAGTGGTATTTAGAATGTCCAGATAAGTTTGCCACTTCTCTACGCTTGTGCAGTGGTCAGGTAAGGGCCACTAATTGCATTACCTTCACCGTCTGCATGTATGTATGTCTGTTTCCCTTCTATGGTTCTACTCATTGGGCCTATGTGGTCAGGTAAGGGCCACTATATGAAACTTTACCTTGTTAGGCCTAGTATAATCTAGGTAGGGTCGACCTAAGCCACGTTTCCCATTTTTCTATGGTTGTATTTTTATTATAGTGGTCTCGTGTATGTATGTCTTTTTCCCTTCTATGGTTCTACCCATTGGGCCTATGTGGTCAGGTAAGGACCACCAAAATTATTGAAACTTTACCTAGTAATCTAGGTAGGGTCGACCTAACCACTTTTCTCATTTGTCTATGGTTGTATCTTTTCATTATAGTGGTCAGGTAAGGACCACATTTTCCCTCGTTTCACCACAATACTGGTCAGTAATTTGACCTAAGCCACGTTTCTCATTTTTCTATGGTTGTATCTTTCATTATAGTGGTCAGGTAAGGACCACATTGTCCCTCGTTTCACCACAATACTGGTCAGTAATTTGACCTTAGCCACGTTTCTTATTTTTCTATGGTTGTATCTTTCATTATAGTCGTCAGGTAAGGACCACATTTTCCCTCGTTTCACCACTCTACCGGTCACTAATTTGACCAAGAAATCACTGTGTATTATACTGACTTAACCTAGCTCCGCTAGGTGGACATGTTTTCTCTTTTTATAAGTCCATTTTCAGCCACTTGTAGGTAAATTATGACGACATGCAAGCCCGAGTGTTGCTCTCAGATGCGGAGGAACCGGAAGCAGGGAGGAGGAACAACGGATGCCGGAGGACCCTGCTTGCCGGGCGACCCATTACTGCTTTCTTGGTAAAAACATTCATACTTTCCTTTTGAAAAATGTCTTAGGCTGTCTTAAGGGATTCTGCTTGTTGTGTCCACGATTACTGATACATTACGACAAAAATAAGATAAATCTACAAGAAAATTAATTTAAATTATTTTTAAAAAGAATCATCACTTTTCCGAAATCAACAAATAAAAAAGAGGAGCAACAGACGAATATTAACCCACTCAAATTTTCTTACACGTCTTCCTTCAAATCTTTTGGCAGAGATGAGGGTCTACAAGCTGAGATGTCATTCTAATATCGATTCCGAATCCCAAGGAACCGGAAGCAGGGAGGAGGACCGACGGAAGGACTGATGACCTGCTTGCAGAGCAAGTCTTCACCAATTCTTAAGGTTATTTAAAAAAGAGATTCAGATGTATTTTGTTTTCTTCTTTTTTGTCTTCGTCTTCGGGCAGTGGCACATCATTTTTTTAATGAAATAATCTACTCAGTAGGTGTATCAATCTGGTAGTTGGTTTGTGTCTCGATTGTAAAAAATAGAATAATTTAAGTAGATGACCTTTTTGTTTTATCTTTGCAGATTCCTCTTGCCTCGCGTAAGCAGCAGAAACAGTGGCAATACACATTATGGAGTGCAGTTGTTCAATATGCGCTGATGATCTATGGAGTATTATATACTTGGTTGCCACTGTAATTTGGAGCCGGATCGGGAATCTCCCCGTGTTTTTTTTTCCCAAAAAGGATTTTTGGCGGGGTTTTCGCCCATCCCGTAATCAGGAATTCGTGCCTTATACTGAAATGCTTAAAATTATATTTTAGTTGATTTTAAAACGTTTGTCATACCCCGGGTAAATAAATGTAATAAATAAATAAATAAATACATAACTTTAAATAGAGGATCGGAAATGGAATCATCAGATTTTCCAATAATGGTTTTCAGTAGTAAAAAACAACAACCTCAAATGAGAATTTGTTTCTGAAAAATTATTTTCAGCCCGTCCCAAGTCCATATTAGTGGGTTTCAAATAATTCTTGTTCGTACATTTAGTCACTCGACATTTTATTTTGTTTCCTTCTTAATGCCATAATTGATACACATGTATAATGTTTATTTTTTGGCAATTTTGCAGATTAAACCTGAGTGAATAAGAACTTATTGTATATAAACTATTTGTGTCAGTATGTCTAGTGTATTGTCTGAATATGATAATGAGTATAGCGACTTTGAAAGAGCCGCCAAAGTTAAATACATGCATCATAATACCAATATTTCTTAGGTTATAGCAACTTTTTTATGTTTTATATTAGAAAAATCAATCTATCCAAAACTGGTCCAGCCGGACGTTAGTTTTCTTGTCACTGTGGGTTCGAGTTTGAAGTTTTTAAACCACACGTTTCAATTTATAGAGAAGCAATCAAAACGATGCATTCAAACCAAAAATTGACATAATTTAGATAAAAAAATTATTGCCGCTTCTCAACGAACATTCTTAATATACTTGAGTAAAAGAATCTTTCAGCATCGATTAAAACAATAATCTTTGGGGGAAAACTGATTTTTTTTTAAGGAGGAATGTTTAAGAACGTTGCTGGTCTTCAGCTAAAAATGAAAAAAAAAAAACAAGTTAAAGAAAGCACTTTTTATTCCCCAACGTGTGTAATGAAGAAGAAATGGCATATCTCTAAGAAGTAGAATACAAGATATTCGTATATCGTTGGCTTCGGTAGGACTGCATCAATCCGATTACTCAGTCTATCGCCCTCTATTGACAAGTGTGGTCCAATCTCTAACTCTGTACACGATCAAAGGAGGGGGCGCTGTTCATTATGCACTAAATGTTACGTTCAAGTACAGTGTACACCTCCTTTATAGGCCCGGTATTTCCAGCATTTCCCAGGGGCGGCGGAACCGGGGGGGGGGGGGGGGGGGGGGCAGTTGCACCCCCCCCAGATTTTCCCTAGTGCCCCTTTTGCGGCCATAAATGTGCCCCTCGAGCATAAAAGTGCCCCCTCGAGATAAATAAAAAAACTTGGTCCTAAAAGTACCCGACTATTAATTTTAAGCAACCATTTCACAAAATGGTATTGATAGTTTAGATATATACGAGGAAATACGAAAACAAAGCCCAAAACGTGTACACAATGTGTAGTTACCATATAATGCTCGGTTTTGAAGAGCGCCCCTATGTTGGAAGATGGTATCAGCCCCCCCCCCCCCCCCCCCCACCCCCCCCCCCCCCCCCCACACACACACACACACTATTGGTTTTTAGGGACACCAAGTGTCTGGTGAAAAATACGTGCCGACCTTTCAGCACGGATGTGCCAAAAAAAAAAAATTCTGAGCAAGTGCCCCTTTCTGGTGATGCCCCCCAGTTTCAAACCCGTTCCGCCGCCGCTGGCATTTCCTGGCGTTAACTTTACAGCAGCATGGGCGTCGATCGGTGGGGAACGGGGGTTGCGGGTTGGGGGTTGGGGGTTGGGGGTATTTGCTCCCCCCCCCACTTTTTTGCCCCCGAATATAAATCGTAGCCTACATTTGATTATGTGGGTCAGAATAGCTGAGTCAATAACTCAAAACTCGACAATGATGTTTAAATGATGATCTTTTGCTTAAAAGAAATTGGTTAAAGTGGGCAGAAATTGCCTGACATCGCACCACAGAACGTCTATAGAATCCAACATTTTTTGGGGCCTTTCAGCTGGCCCCGATTCCCGCACCATTAGAGATTCGCATTTCGCGCTCGCATTAGTTCTCATCAGGGTATGTCTCCACCCCCTCCCCCCCCCCCCCCCCCCCACACACACACACACACTTTGGACAAGCAATTGATGACCTTGACTTTACGTTACGTTACTGAAAATATAGGCCTCGGCATCCTCCTTTCTTAATTCTTCTTCCCTTTTCTCATTCTTTTTTTGGGGGGGGGGGGGGTGTTAACACCCGAACTCTCCATCCCCGCTTCGCATCGCTCATACAGCCGTCGATGGTCCATCTCGGGCACACTTCGCCTGATGACTGCAGACGTGTTGAATCAGCGATGCTGCGGCGTGTTGCGTGCCAGTTGAAGGGCTTTTACCGCTCACGACAGGCGGCATTTCCTGCGGCCGTCCGTTATTGCCTGGCCGTGTTTACGCATTGATGGAACGAAGAGAAATAGGGGAAGATCCTATCGACAAACTGGAGGGTTTGGGAAGGACTTGGGCTATTTCCACTCACCCGTAATGGCCTGTATGCAGTCTACGCAAGTTGTTTGTAAGATTTGTTAAAGAGCGGTTATCCTGAAAGTTAAATCTCTGTCGATAACGACTGCCTTTTCTTCTGCTGGAAATATTAACACAACTTCATTGTTTTAAAGACGTTTGGTTAAGTTGCTCATTTTCAATATTTCGAAGTTATATTTCGCCTTTCTTCAGGACAGTAACGCTAGATGACTGTATTTAACAATGTGAAAATTGATGTAGAAAATGCGAGGGTGTAAGAAATTAGGGGTTGTAAAATTAATATTGAGAACAAAATTTGAGATGCCGCCAATCAAGGTGGGAGGTTGCGCATTCTTGGAAGTCTTAAAAAAAATCAAAACCCAGTTAGGCCTGTTGCTTCCATACTTAAAATGGGCTAATTAATGTGGCTTTTTGGTCCCATACGTTTATAAAACTTACGCTCATGGATTAATTATGAATATAAAACGAAACAGGGAGGGTTTTGTTAACCAATCTACTATGGTCCCAGAAATAAACCTGTCAAATCTCTGTCTAATCGAAGATTAATGACGTCGATCGGCCAACTTAATGGCGATGAGCGGAAGCTGTCGGCTGGATGAGTAAATATGAACAATGTCTTGTGGACATTGTTGGATGCGCATTAAAAGCTCGGGATGATGGAGCCGCTACGTCAGAAATAGTGCGTGGCCTAACACCCGACCGCCATTCACATTAAATATTATACATTGCTTGATAGTTTGGCATGAAGGTAACATTGTGTTTGCAAAATTAGAAATGAGGTGCTCTTGTCAAGTATTCACTTTAGTGTTTCGTTTTAATTGTGGAAAAAAAAACATGTTTATCGTGTGTCAAAATCAGGCACTTATGGGAAAGAAGTCTATTTTGAGTTACTGCAATAATAGTCAAAAAATATCGACCTTGCTCTGTCGAACGCCGCTTTGTTTTCTTAAATTTGATATTCCAGAAAACGGAGTTATTAAATTTTGAAATCGGATGGTCGGAAATGTCGGCTAAGTTTGCGTCATTTCAGGACAAAAAAATCTTGAACAAAATATCATTTTGTGAAATGACATGAATATCTGAAAGTGTTGTTATAACACTTAGTTGATGGAATTTCAGTTTAAATTTTTAAACATTAGTGGCATCGCAAATTTAAAAACAATCTCAAAACCGCTGAAAATCAGCCCGTGTCATGATGCAGCTATTTCTCAATTCATAGCTTTGCCCAATTTGGCCTGGTTTTTGACATACCACGTCATATTTAGCAATACAAAATAATTATAATTTGTGGTTAGTTTAGGCCCAAAAAAAAAAGTCTCCGGTTTCTGGTATGCGCTCGCGTCGCCGTAGCCATGCGCGTCGGCAAAATGAAAAAGTTTTTTTTTTCAACGAAAGATGATAACTCAAAACCGCCAAACTCACTGGTTTGACTGGAATCCTGCTGCTGCACAATTTAAACGTGTTTTTAGATTGGGTTATGGTCGAGAATAAGCTTTATGTGGCCTCTCTGGACTCCCATTTGCAGTCATCAGCCGACATTTGAAGCAAAACAATCAGGTAAAAAAAAAGAAAAAACCGCGTCGCCGCACCACTTTTTGGGCAAGCTCCATACCAGAAACCGGAGACTTTTTTTGTTGGCCTTAGAAGAAGTTGAGATAACGGCAGTAGATTTTCTTTTACTAGGAAAATGGCAATGATGCTATGGCAAGTAATCTAGACGTTGGCAGGCTAAGCTTGATATGGGGGAAAAAAACAACCTTTTGTTTGTTGAGTGCGGGCAGGATTTCATCACAGATCAATCCGCGCCGGCGTGTCAGCCACAATTTACTCGGGGATTCCTCAGCCAATTACGGTCTCAATCCCTCCTCAATTGAAGCGGGAAAAGTCCCCCCTCAATGCGCCCCGTAATCCTGCCCTGGCGTTCCGGTGGAAGGAAGTGGCGAGAATCAGAGATAATTGTCTCGGCAGTTTTCTCTCCTCCATTCTCTGACCTTAAGAGATAACTCTACACTCCATCCCTATACGCCTTTCACAGAATTCCAACAAACCCAAGGTCTTAATCAGAGGGGAAAAAAATCTCTGACAATTGAAAACGATATAAAATCCCCGGCAAATCCATTATTGTTCGGTTAACAAAATTAACAATTAATTTGGCGAACCAGGCGCAAGGACGCAAAGCGTTTTCATCACCGTCTCGGTGTTATATTTTTTTTCCACGGCCCCTTTTGCTTTTACCGAGCCCGGCACCGAGCTTTAGACCGGGGGTAGAGAGCTCAGTGACCGGGCGCGAACTCCGCACTTTACCAGTCAGGCCGCCGGAGGAAAATTGAGCTTGATCGGTGGTTACCTTTGGCGGAACATTTGGGACTTTGTTTTCATTCATTTTCCCCCGGTTCTGGAGCTGTCTCCTTTGATACCACTGCAGGGTTTGTTATTTCAAGTGTTTCTGGTTTTTTGTTTTACTAGAAAGTGAGAATTTCCTTCGCACATGGTGCACAGGAAAACAAAATAATAAGGACTTGATGAAAACCAACGCCTGGCGGTGTCGCTTTGAGTTGTCGAAGGTATCAGTACACTGAGAACATTGCATAGTCATAGCACTTTATAGCACAAGAGTGCACTCTTGTGCTATAAAGTGCTATGACTATTGGTATCACAACAGATTTTTGTTTAAACGCGTATGGAACAAGCGTGCAATTCCATTTATCTCTCTTATAAGTAAGCCAATGCACCATTTTAGACCTTGCACAATCGAAAACATGCATGAAATTTTGTCATTTTCTGGTATGCATTTATCCGATCGAAAGATCGCTTGAAACAATTAATTTAGTTTCTGAAAAGGTAAAGCTTATAATATCGCCACTGAAATTATTCGGCCTATTACCTAGTTTGATATCATACTCGTTCCCATTCATTTTCAGTGATCCGATGTTGT